TCATTTATTAGTTCTAGTAGTTTCTTTGTAGACCCTTTTGGGTCTTCTAAGTATAGAATCATGTCATCTGCTACAGGGCTTTAGATGAGTTAACTATGGTTTAAAAAAAACTTGAATTACGTTGGCTAATGAACCAAAGCGAAGTAAAATGAAATATTCAAGCTTCCATTTCCTTGTTCTCTCTTATATCCTGGGCACACCAAGTTATTTTCCTCAAAAGTTTTTTTTCCCCCTTTGGATTATTTATGTGACACAAAGGATATCAAGAATATCCTTCATAGACAGAGTAGCTTCCATCCCTTATATGGTATTTAAGCAAAGATGCTATATCTGAGCACAATGGATACCAGTCCCGCCACTGTGTTGCCCAACTTGAGGAAGCATCATTTTCTGGAAGGTACTGTGAATGGAGCTCCCTAGGGTCGGGCAGTGGTACTGAAGATAGGTACAACTGTATTGATTTTGGCTTCAGGAACATTTTCCATGTGTTGTTAGAGTAGGACAAATATTTTCTAATCTTTTATGGCACTTTGTTTTCTTAACATTCACCACAGTATATAAACAATGTCAGCACATCTAATTTTAAATAGTTTTTTTCATAGGGCTTTAGTCAGAAATAAGAGAGAACTTTGCAGGATGTAGGAAAGATAGTGCCCTGGGCAACAAAGTTAAAGTCTGGAAACAGGTTTTCAAGTGGAAACACGAGATGGCTACTCAAGAAGGTAGTGACAGTGACCTGGAATTGGGTTTCTTTATGGAATTGCGGTTCTTCCTAGAATTCTCTTCAGCTTTTCTCAGTTTAGTAGGAATTTTATATGGAGAATTTTTTGGGGGGGGTGGGGTGGGGTACCGGGGATTGAACTCAGGGCACTGGACCACTGGGCCACATCCCCAGCCTATTTTGTATTTTATTTACAGACAGGGTCTCACTAAGTTGCTTTGCACCTTGCTTTTGCTGAGTCTGTTTTTGAACTTGCAGTCTTCCTGCTTCTGTCTCCTGAGCTGTTGGGATTACAGGCATGTGCCACCGCAGAGAATTTTTTAAACTTTTTTTTGGATCTCACTGTATAGGAATTTGCAGATGATGGATTGTAGACAAAATCTCAGATTTAGTATATCATGTATTTAGTATCTCCGATTTATTCATAAGACACACATTTATTCATAAGACTGAAGAAGTGCTATTATTTTTAAACTTGAAAAACCTTGAAGCAGACTACAAGAAAGCACTTGCAAGAATTTACCAACCAATAAAGAATATCCTGAAAAAAGTAAGAAAGAAAATCCAGAAATGTGAACATTAAAAATGATTTTTTTGATCACCAAAAATTGCTATTAGAAAAGATGATCTTTTTTGCTTTTTTTTTTCTCTCAGTATCTGTGATAGGCTTTCCTTAGATCAGACTTTTGTAGAGAACTCTCTCCCTCTCCACCCTGTGGTCTCTGAATTCCTCTAGGCTCGGTGGGCACCTAGAGAACACAGATGATTGGTTCCATGACACCCTGCATACTCAAATCCCAGATGCCCTTGTATAGAATGGCATGGGATTCACATATAACCTATGCACATCCTCCCTTATATTGAAATAATCGTTTGATTACTCATAGAACCTAATCCAGTGTAAATACTGTGTATTTACAGTTATTATACAGTATTATTTAATGAATAGTGACCAAAAAGAGTCAGCACATATTCAAGAAAGATGCAAAATTTTTCTAAATATTTTTGATCTGTAGATGGTTAATGTAGAACCCCTGGACATAGGGGTTACATCTCTGGGAACCTAGCTCTGTCGCTTATAAGCCAGAGAACCTTGGGCAAGACACTTGACCTCTGCACTGATTTGCTCATTTAAGAAATGCAATAGTAATTGTGCCTACCTCATGTGGTTATTCTGAGTGTCAAAATAGGAAATACCTATAAATCACATAAGCACTCTATGAGGGGTAAGCAGTTTTCTACTGTGTGCCTCATGCTGCAACATTTGGTGATTTGTTGTAACAACCTGGCCTAAATGCTTTCTGAGACATGAGCTATATGAGCATTCATAAACATACACTGTTCTCGTTTTCCTTGGTTAGGTTTTTAGTTATTTGTTGGTTTGGGGTTTGGTTTAGACATAAATTCCTTGGCTCGGGACCTGTGTTGTATACTTTTTTTAAAAATTTTATTTTCTACAGTCTCTTGTGCAAATTTCAGAATGTTTGTCACTTAGAATTCTAGTTCTTAGATCTGAAATTGACTTAGAAATAATGTACTAGCAACAAGGAAGCTGAAGATCCAGAGACACGGAGGTTATTAATGTTACTCACATAATCATTGTACTTCCTTCGATGTCATTCTCACCTAAATATTATGAAGAAAATCTAAAACTTAGAATAACATTTTGAAAAAGTACCAAAAGCTTGGTATGGTGGAAAATAAGGTCTGAGCACTGTTACACAAATAACATAACGTTTCTTTTAAAAGAATAGATTTAATAAATGTTAAATATGATTTTCCCCCCTCTTTATTTCTTTTGCTTTGAAGCTGAGAGTTTAAACCCTGGGCCTGGTGCATGCAAAGCATGCACTCTGCCCCTGAGCTGTACCCCTACTCTCTTCTTATTGCTTTATAATTGCGTGAACATTGTTATAACTTAGTTTTCTCCTAAACTGGGCATTGTGTATTTTCAATTTCCTTTAATGAGCTGAATTTTTGCATTTCTTCCAGGTTCTAGTGCCTACTCGGAACTGACTGAGCTTTGCTGTTTTTGCAGGTTGTGGTGGAGAGTTATCAGGAGCCACGGGCTCCTTCAGCAGCCCCGGGTATCCTGACGGGTATCCACCCAGCAAGGAGTGCCTCTGGTACATTAGCACTGCCCCAGGGAGCAGCATTCAGCTCACCATCCATGACTTCGATGTGGAATATCATGCGACCTGCAGCTATGACATCCTGGAGGTAGGAAGTGAAGATGGTTTTCCAGCACATTCCAGAATTGGGGGTAGAACTGGAAATCACTCTGTAGAGATGGCCACATTCTTTCCAGTGGCCAGCTGCTTGCTATTCTTAGACATTCTTGTCAGTATCAGCCCTTCATGAATAATGTTGGTAGACATATGGGATTAATATCTTAGTTTAGGTTTCCCTCCCAGCAGTGCCTGAGGGCCTTGGCTGTGGGCAGTTCAATGAAGAAGTGAGACCAGCAAGAAACTGTGTGAATAAAGGGGCAGGGAGGGAGAGCCAGTGGAGGGAGCCCCTGTGGACCACTGGGTTCAGTCCTCTGGATACTTCTGAGGCATTGGTCTCCTAACTGTGGGCCCCATCAATTAAGATTGTGCTTGGGATTATGAACACCCCACACTTGAAGTCTGAAAAAACTTGCTTAGGGAGAAAAGCATTTTGGGCTGCAGTGTGCAGAGAGCAGACACTGGCAGCAAGCACAGGAACGGTCCTCTCGGCTGCAGAAGCCTCTGAGGGGGGGCAGCAGGGTGCTCCTCCTGCAGATGGCTTTTTTTGTTTTTTAATGGTCACTTACGTAGTGTGAGGTATTTGGATTTTTTTTTTAAATATATGTTCCCATATTTTTATCGGAACATTATACTCATACATAATGGTAGAATTCATTGTGACATATTTGAACTTGGACACAATATGATGCTATAAATTGGTTGGTATCATTCCCCATTATTTCCCCCTTGCCTTCTTCTCCTCACTCTCTTCCTCTGGTCCCTTTTCCTTTGCTCTACTGTTCTCCCTTGGATTTTCATGAGATCTCCCTTCCCCATCTTTTTTTTTTTTTTTAACCTTATTCCTTTCGAGCTTCCAGATACAAGAGAAAACATATTACTCTTGACTTTTTGTTTGGCTTATTTTGATTAAAAGTTCCACCTATTTTTCATCAAATGAGATAATTTCGTTCTTCTTCATGACTGAGTAAAACTCCATTGTGTGTATATATCACATTTTTTTCCTATTATTCATTCACCCATCAGTGGACACCTAGGCTGATTCCATAGTTTGGCTATTGTGAATTGTGCTGCTATAAACATTGGTATGCATCTATCCCTGTAGTATGATGCCTTTAATTCTTTAGGATAAATACAGAGGAGTGGTATAACTGGGTCAAGAGGCGATTCCATTCCTAGTCTTTTGAGGAAACTCCATACTCATTTCCATAATGGTTGTACTCATTGACAATCCTACCAAGAATATAAAAGTGTTTCTTTTTTCTGTCTTCTCTACAACATTTTTATTATTCATATTCTTGATGACTGACACTCTAACTGAAGTGGGATTAAATCTCAGTGTAGTTTTGATTTGCATTTGCCTAATTGCTTAAGTTGTTGAACATTTTAAAATATATTTGTTGGTTTTTTGTATTTCTTCTTTTGAGAAGTATTTGTTTAGCTCATTTGCCCACTTATTGTGTTTTTTTTTTGGTGGGGGATTTAAGTTTTTTGAATTCTTTATGTATTCTGGATATTCATCTTCTATCAGAAGAGTATGCAAAGATTTTCTCCCATTTTGTAGGCTCTCTCTTCACATTCTTTTTTAAAATTTTTTTATTTGTTTTAATTAGTTATACATGACAGTAGAATGCATTTATGCACTTTGATATATCATACATAGATGGGATATAATTTCTCATTTTTCTGAGTGTACATGTTGTAGAATCACATTGGTCATGCAGCCACATATATACATAAAGTAATAATGTCTATTCCATTCTACTATCCTTCCTATCCCCACATCCACTCCCCTCTCTCCCCTCCTCTCACTTCCTTCTACCTAATCTAAGGTAACTCTATTCTTCTTTAGTCCCTCACCCCCTTTATTGTGAGTTAGCATCACATATTATAGAAAACATTCAGCCTTTGGTTTTTTGGGATTGGCTTTTTTCGCTTAGTATGATAGTCTCCAACTCCATCCATTTACTGGCAAATGCCATAATTTCATTCTTCTTTAAAGCTGAATAATATTCCATTGAATGTATATACCACATTTTCTTTATCCATTCATCTATTGAAGGACACCTAGGTTGGTTCCATAGTTTAGCTATTGTGCATTGAGCTGCTATAAACCTTGATGTGGCTGGGTCACTGTAATATGCTGATTTTAAGTCCTTTGGGTATAAACTGAGGACTGGGATAGATGGGTCAAATGATGGTTCCATTCCAAGTTTTCTGAGGAATCTCCATACTGCTTTCCATAGTGGTTATACCAATTTGCAGTCCCTCCAATAATATTTGAGTGTACCTTTTCCCCACATCCTCACACTCACTTATTGTTGCTTGAATTCTTGAAGATTGCCATTCTGACTGGAGTTGAGATGAAATCTCATGTAGTTTTGATTTGCATTTCTCAAATTGCCAGAGATGTTGAACATTTTTTTTCATATATTTGTTGATCGATTGTATTTCTTCTTCTGTGAAGTGTCTCTTCAGTTCCTTAGCTCATTTATGGATTGGGTTATTTGCTTTTTTGGTGTTAAGTTTTTTGAATTCTTTATATATCTTAGAGATTAATGCTTTAACGGAGGAGCATGTAATAAAGATTTTCTCCCAATCTGCAGGCTCTCTTCCACACTATTGATTGTTTGCTTTGCTGAGAAGAAATTTTTTAATTTGAATCCATTTCATTTATTGATCCTTGGTTTTACTTCTTGCACTTTAGGGTCTTGTTAAGGAGGTCACATTCTCTTCACATTCTTAATTATTTACCTTGCTATGCAAAAGCTTTTTAATTTAATGCCATCTAATTGTTAATTCTTGGCATCATTTCCTGAGCTTTAAGGGTTCTATTGAGAAAGTTATTGCCTACACTTATATTTTGGAGTGTTAACCCTTTGTTTTTTTCTAGGAGTTGCATAGTTTCTGGTCTAGTTCCTAGGTCTTTGATCCATTTTGTGTTGATTTTTGTGTAAGGTGAAAGATAAGGATCTATTTCCCCCTTTCCTTGGGGGATTTTATTTTCCATATCCTTCACGTGGTAAAAGCAAACATTCAATATGTTTGTGGATTGAATGAAAGTATCCAATTGTCTGATTGGCACATGGAAATAATCCATACTAATGATTTACAAAGGAACTTTTACAGGTATATTCTTATTTGAATGTTGAATAATTTGACGGGGGATTATTTTGTCCCCATTTAATAGTTGTCAAAACCTAGGCTTAAATTAATGGGCTTTTGCATGATCACATGAATGGTGAGTGAAAGGGTTAAAAAGTGAACCTGGTTATTACTCAATGCTCCCTGAAAATCAGTATAAAAACCATAGATGTTTTCAGTCTGCAAGAGATTAAAATGGATAGGGTGTACCTCATAGAAAACTTTAACACTTAAAAAACTTTATCTGATTACAAAACACGTTCTCACCTTGAAAAGAAATAGGCTTCTAAAGTCATCCCCTCCATGAGTGGATGGAGAGTCACTAGGAATTACATTGAGTTGCACAAGTCTCTCTGCAGCAGGACATTGCTACAGGAAATGGAATTGGGTACAAGGCTGAAAGGTCTTGAATCAAAACCATTCCTTTGTCTTCAAAGCCAGTGTGCTGCCAAATCATTCCATCTCAAAGTAGAAAAAGGTTGTAGGAGAGAATACAGCTCCCTATGTTCACACTCTCAATATGAAGTTGGACTAACACTCACATATGGAGCACTCAAATGGTTTCCCTTGCCAACACAGATATTACTGGTTACATAAAACCCCTTAACACTTACAGAGGGCTGGCAACAGATCCTCCACAGCAATGTGCATGTTCCAAACTTTTCACTCTCATATTCCAAAGTGCATGTGATTGTTGCCCACTTGGCAAAATGTAAATGGGCTTATTGTGCTTTTTGTCACACCCATTACATGAGAAAGCAGAGAGAGAGGTCATTCCTTGCAAACAGCCTAAATAACAGAGAGACAAAAATCAGGGACTAGGGGGCATCGGGCAGCATTCGGAGAGGTCCCATGCCTGCACAGAAATGTTTCTGAGAAAACGCAGCAATCTGCTTGGGGTTTATTTTTATTAGGACAAGCTGACATTGCAGTGGTCTCCCAAATCCCATTAAGAGCAGAGTTTGGAGGAAAATCTCAAGGTCCTTAAATATGTGAGGAAAGTTTTCTTCTTAAGGCTGAAAGGAACAACCCTTTGACTTTTTGTTCAAAACCTTTTTGCTTCTCTGAAATGTTCGACTCAGATGGAAAGTACTGTGGTAAATCTGGGCTAAAAACAATAAAATGATTTTTTTCCATCCCTCACTCCTTAGTCACTGATAGCATGTGAGCAGTAGGTTTCAAAGTTTATATCCCTGTTATAGGTCTAGAAATGCTTGGTCTAGAAATGCAGCCCATGTCTCAGCTGCACACTGATCCACTGAGTGCAATCAAGTGGGACCTAACTGTCACCAGGTATCAGACTTATGGGATTCACCAGATATAACCAAGAACCATTTTTTCCCTCAAAAATCACCATCCAGAAAGTGGTCAGTTGCCGAAAGCAATAGCCCTGTGGTTACTCATAACTCCGGAATGCTGACTTGATTGTAACAATAAATGGAGCTAACAGAGCAGAAAGAAATGTTCAAAACAGATTAAAACCGTAGGCTTTGAAATGTTCTCCCTCCTGAACATTTGCTAAAAACACATTTTAATCTCTGATCATCAGACCAATTCTTTTTCCCCCAAAGTGCAGTCATATGCTCTAGTGGAATGAACCACACCCTGAAATTCTTTCCATCTCTTTCCTCTTTGAGCCACATGGTAACCATCGGTTTTATTTGTGAAAGCCCAAATCACCATTCTATTGTGTTGGCCATGGAAACACTGATTTTACTTCGGTCTCTGAGAAAGCTCTGCAGAGAGAGCCTGAGCTGGCATCCTGCAGGAAAGGAAGTCCACTCCTTGGTGTAATGAACCAGGACAATTGCTTGGTGTGGGCAGTGAGCGCTGGCTGTTCTCTGTGCGGTGCTAGTTTGTGAGTTCAGTCCAGCGAGAGGGGGAAGCAAAGAATGTCAAAATTGGTGGTGTTTATTCTTCTGGAGGCTTCTAGGCCAGCCAACTCATACCCATTATGTTTGTGATCTCAAGGGGACTCATGAGCAGAGAAAACAAAAGGATATTTTGCCGACGTGCAGGTTTTCATTGTTAGGACTTAGCATGAGTGCTCAGCGTTCTCTTTAAAAGTGTGCCGGTTATTGGGCTTGGATGATTGGGAGCACACGCGGTCAGCTGCCTGCTCTCGGGGTGGGGTGGGATAGGGAATTCTTGAAAATGGGGAAGGACCCTAGACAAGAAGCCCTGTCTGTCCTTCCATTTGCATATGTGTATGTGTAAAGGGCCACAGGAGGCTCTTCCTGAAGTCCTGCTTTTGATGGCACTTAGGGGGGCCACACAAACATCAGCTCCTTCTAATACAAATAAGCCCGAAGCAGTGGGCTTGCTTCATTCCTTTGCAATTACAGTCCTTGTGCTCAGCCCTCTGGGAAACAGCAGTTGCATTCATTTTGGCCTTTCCCCACATGGCTGGGGGGAATTAATCAGACAAAGAAGTCATTATAGATTCCAATCATGTACTCCACCCCCAAAGCAGGCTTCTTGTTCTCTCCCTCTCTCCCCAGAGAACACTTGAGTGGTTTCCCTATCAGTCAGCAGAGGGCCTGAGGGTGGGCTGGGGGGGCCTGAGGAATGAGGGAGAGCTGCCCAGATGAAAGAGGTGAGGGGACACCGAGCACAGACCTCCCAGAGAGCCCCTTTCCTGGCTTTGGCCCTGAGTGTTGATTTGTGTACATGGCAAGTGTGTGTGTGTGTGTGTGTGTGTGTGTATGTGTGTGTGCGCAGTTCTGAAGGACTCAGTTGCCAATATACTTGAAAACTTTCGTCCACAGTAGTCTTTTTCCTTACAAATTCAAGTTTGACAAGACCTGAAGATGAGGGGGTCAATATCTTCTTTTTGATTTCACACATTCTAGAGAAGAATCTAGGGAAGATTCAGAAACCAGTGTGTGAGGTTTCATGGAGATGGGACCAAAGGGACCCTTTTCTGAGGAATGTGCCATGGAGTTGTTGGATCCCAGTCAGACTGAGAGTTGGACAAATTTGGAGGAGTGTAGGAGGTCTGAAGCCAAGAATGGTGGAGGTAGAGGGAGTCATCTAGGAACTACAGAGTCTGGGGTAATTCTCATGGAGGCTCTTGTTCAGGCTCCTGGGAGCAGGCACAGAAAGATCTATAGTGTTTCCTTTGTGAGTATACTCCAGAGCACACTTCCTCTGAAGAAGCAAATGCATTATATTTTGATGCTTAATCTTATAAAATATTCAGTATGCAGAGTAGATGAAAATTCTTAACCATATAACTAGAAAAGTACTAGTTTTCAGTGAACCCAAATTTCATAAACTTACGAAATTCTACTATTATTCCTATGTGCCCATAAGAGTCGGAAAATCAGACTTAAGACTATATTAGCTGAAGTTTCTCTGCCATAGAAAGCAGTAAATTCCAGAAACATGAGGAAGAAGGAATGAGGGAGGAAATAGGGAAGATTCTGGAATCATCTACTGAGTCCACCTCTACAGTTCTGGCTGATGAAGGAAGCAGGCATTTTGTGGGTGATTCAACTTGTGTGTTCCAAGGCAAAGGGAGTGCTTTTGAAAACTCAGCTCAGGGTTATAGTTCATTCCCACCCAAGGAGGCTTACATTTCAGTCTCTAATCATAATAGATTCAAGAGTATAAGGAGCTAGGGGAAGGGCTGAAATTACTTAAATATGTCTCTTAAAGTCCTTTTTTCCTCCATCCCCGTATTAGGTCTATGGAGGCCCTGATTTCTACTCTCCCAGATTAACCCAGTTGTGCTACCAGCGATCATCTGTGAACCCCATGCAGGTCTCCAGCACTGGAAATGCACTAGCCATCCGATTTAAGACCGACAGCTCCATAAATGGGAGAGGCTTCAATGCCTCATGGCAAGCAGTCCCTGGAGGTGAGTGAACCAAAGGAAATACCCTTGCCATACTTATGCTGAGCCCTTGTTAAATTTTATGAAATGATTAGAGGAATGTGTTAAAGTTACACCCTGATGATTCTGTGATGTCCCAAATGACAAACACTGCTTTGACAAATACTCTTCCAGAAAAAATCTATCTACATGTCACCGCCTAAGCGAAAACAAGATACAAGTTTGCAAGTTCACTGTAAAAACAGTTAGGGTGACTGGCGACATGCATTCAGTTGCCAAGGGACTTGTGCCTATTCTCTGTCCTCAGATCTGGACATTGATAAATGGCAAATTACCTTGTGCCATAGTACAGACCTTGGGATTTGTGGCAAATGCGAAAACAGTAAACATTAAATTTGCCAGTTCTGAGAAATTGCCATGCATTGTATAATATCTTTCTGCCCAAGATCTTAGGTAGTCTAAATCAATTACCTATTATGGCACAAAATATTTTAATAGGCATTAACTTATACAACTGCTACTAATACTACTAATAGTGGCATTGGTGGAATGTTTACCATGTGCCAGATACTTTTCTATCACAAAGATTATGCCATTTAATCCTTATAACCACACTCTGAGCGTAGCCTATTAATATCCTGTCTTAACCATTGAAGAAACAGAAGCTTAGGGAATTCAGTCACTTGCCCAAAGTCCACAGCTAGGAATGCCAAACAGAGGTATTGCCCCAGGCTACCTAATTTATGGCCTCACTTTTTCAAATCTAAGGCAATATAGTAATCTCTCTTAAGTAAATTATGTATAAATTTATAATACACGGTGTCTAGATTACCCCCAAGATGACTCTTAATTACTAGAAAATAAGTGTCGAATTTTTTTACTATTATTTTATGTTATCATAAATCAAAGGCATGATGGTCATAGATAGGGATTTTATTACCAGGAATTGGATAACATTATAGGAATTAAAAACAACCTAAGTAATTGTACTGTATCTAGAATATTAAAATTGTAAAAAGCAAGCATTAAATTATTTACAAAATCGTATGCTACTAGATTGTCAAATATTTTGGAAGTGAGTATTCTTACAGTATGCTATATATATATTTTTTTTTTTAATTTAATTTAATTTTTTAATTTGTTTTAATTAGTTACACATGACAGTACAATGATCTTGACATATCATACATTTAGTATGCTATATTTTAAAGTACAACTAGAAAGCATCTTATGGCTTTGTGACAACATGATTTCATTTGGACTTATTTTTCCTTATTATTTTGACTAACTTTTGGTGTCAGTATTTAAAGTGTTGAAACATTACCTTAGTATTATCTATGTCTCTTTAGTTCAATGGGATGAATGAATTAATGTAAATATTCAGTTCTTCAAAGTTTTTAGCATAGAACCAAGTAAGACTAATAGTCAAGCAAAGTGGCATATTGATTTATACAGCCAGGTAATAGTCCTGTTTAAGCAACAGTGATTCCTCTCATTGTCGAATTGGGTTTCCCACTTGCAGGTTGTGGTGGGATTTTCCAGGCTCCCAATGGAGAAATCCATTCTCCCAATTACCCCAGTCACTATAGGAGTAACACTGAATGTTCTTGGGTCATTCAAGTTGAGAAAAATCACCACGTTCTCTTGAACTTCACTGACTTTGATCTTGAACCTCCAGACTCTTGCATTTTGGTAAGTGGCACAAATTTCAAGCACTGTCTCAAGTCAAACTCAAACCATGTGAGTACATTAGTGAATGTATTAGTGATGGTATTTTCAAAGGCAACTATTGACAACTTAACATATAAAGCCATTTTTTTTTACCCAATAATAAAGCAGGGTTTAGCAGTTCAATTTCTCCTTTATCATTTTTGCCTTTTGTTGTGTTTATTATTTCATTACCAAAAAATGGCTGCAGTCTTTCTTTTTTTTTTTTTTTTAAACATCTTACCTGTGTTCACATCTGGAGAAAGGAAGAAGGAATATTATCTGTTTCTTCTTTTGTATGTTTTTTTTTAAATCAGGAAAGCAAACATTTTCAAAAATTCCCTTTACATTTTATTGGCCAGAATTGGCTTCAAAGGGAATCCAGAAACTATAGTGGAATAGATTTTATCAATAACTAGTTTAGATCAATTATTTTTAAGCTTCTAGGGTCTCAGAGGGGTCTGCTTTTCTTGAATATCTTGATTTGCTACTTTAACAAATCAGTCTTTTACTAGGGCAGAACAGGTAGGGAGATGGGATATGGCTATTAGTTGGTCAAATGATAAAAACTTTCTGCTGTTTAAACTTTAAAGCATTCTTTCCTGAAACTAATATTTTGTGTTTAATGTAAGAGTAAATGAGGTTTTCTTTTTGTTTTCAGTTTAAAACTTTTGGCTGCTGATTTTCTATCAAAACATTTTCCTTGTTTCATTTGTATTTATAGACATTTCATTCAAACATAAACCAGATTCTCTTGGTTAATGGGATCTTTCCATTTTTGCTTCCTGACAGTTTCCTACACAAACTCCAACTGGTTTGGTTTCTTTTTAATTCAAGAAAACTCGAGAGTTTTGAGGGTTTTTTTTTTTTCTTCATATTTTTCAAAGCAGTCTAGTCTGTTTCAAGTATATTTTAGGTGTTAATTTATAAAATCATTAATAAAAGTTTAGTAGACTTATGAATGTATATTCACCTTCTAAATGAGTATTCAGAGTCTAAGTTAGCAAAGCATCATGAAAACTTAAAGTGTAGGACATCCATTTTCCATAATGCTTACTGGGACCAATTTACCTAAAAAGGACAATTTAAAATTTTAGATGACATTTAACAACATCTTTCTAAAAGCAGCAAAGAACTCATAAGGTACTGTGAAATTTTGGAGTTTATATCTGGGAGAGATATGAATATAGTATTGGGAACTGTTTTTGCACATAGGGCATTTGCTTATCCAAAAGAGGTTAGCAACACTTCTGAGAGCATCTCAGAGCAAAGAGGACTAAAATTTGAGTCCAGGGTCTGAGTATGGTGAAAGTACTGGTAAATTATATATATCCTAGGTAAAATTAAGGCAAAGCAACCTTCACTGAGACTACAACCCAGCTTCAAATCACCCAAGTGGACCCCACACACCTCAAGCCCTGGAATAATAAGAGGGTCTTGTGTATTGCTCATGCAGGTAGGCATGGGGTTTCTGGAAAAAGTAATTTAAAATCTTTAAAGAAAGATAAAATCATCCTAGGTCAATAGCCAACAGACCATCAACCATGTTCACATTTATCAGAAGACAATGCAATAGAAACCAGACATGGCACCAGTAACAGACAATGGAAGCACACCCAGATTTGCCAGATACTGAAACCAGCAGGTACAGGTGACTAGGCAACTGTGATCACTAAGCTCATATACATAAAAGTGAAAATTAAACTTTCATCAGTGTAAGCAAAAATAACCAAAACAAGAGCAGATGCTCAGCAGATCAGCAAGATTCTTTATTAAGCATTGACAGAATGGCACATTTGCAGGGGAGAAAATGGCAGCTGGTTACAAAAGGGGTCTGTTTTTTATGGGGTTTAATGAGAGTTAATCATAGCAGAATGTTTAGTGTGACTTAATCATTAGAGACTTAGGACGTGCTGGCTGGGCAGTCAGGAAATTAGTTGTGCAGGTTGAAAGTCTGAATCAGGAAATCAGTTGTAAAAGTTCGAAACCCATTGTTACTGGAATGAAAGTCCAGAAGCCAAAGCCCACCATTTGCCTTCTCCACACCAGGCTCATTGTTATTGGGAAAGGATGAAAGTCCAGAGCCCAGAGCCTATTGTTTGCCTTCCCCATCCAGGACACATCCTTTCTCCCAGGTAGGGGTGGGAGATTGTTATTCCATGTCCTTCAATCAGGGAATTGCAAACTATAAAAAGAGACATTATAAGTAGGAGGAAAAAAAATGAAAATTTTAGAACTGATAAATGCAATAGCTAAAATTAAGAAGGCTCTGCAGAAGAAACTGAGCTGAATAAATAATGAACTGGATGAAAAATCAGAAGACTCGTGGAAAAAAGCATAATCACAAGGATTAAAAATACAGAAAAACTGGTTAAGACACATGGATGACATATAGAAAAGGTTTAACTTGCATTCAGTTGGAATCCTAAAAGGAAAAGAGAGATAAATGGAGCAAAAGTAATATTTGAAGTGCTAATGACTAAGATTTTTACTAAAACCAAGGATAGATTACTTTATAAAATCACCCAAACAGCCAAGCAGGATAAATAGAAAAACATACTTTAGCAAACTAAAGAAAAATAACAAATGTTAATGTCAGTCGAGGGAGTGGGTAGGTAGGGAAAGACTAACCTTTCAGGAAGTGGCAGACAATGCTGACTTTTCAACAGCAGTAATTGGAAGCAAAACAATAAGAAGGTATGTGCTGTTTGAAGAAAGAAAATAACTAGAAAATAACCAGCATCCCTATACTTTCCTAAAATGGCTTCAAGAATAAAGGTTAAATAAACCTTGGAGCAAAAAGAGGGTCTTCAGGAGACATTTAATGGACCAGATGCAAACTGTTTCTTCCTAGTTTTGCTTGCTGGGGGCATTTCTCTGCCTCTTGTTCCCTTACCTTCTCTGCATGGTGCCAGGTACAGCTTTTTCTTTGGTAAAGCCTATAATCCATAGAACTCAACATGCACAATATGTGACCCAACCGAAGCTGAGATTAAAGGCACACACCCAACATGGCCATGTTTTTTCCTTTCTGTGGACACGAGGAAAATTTTCCACCTACGTGGGATACAAATACACAGAGAGAGTTTTCTGGTAATCATGGCCATATCTCAGTGTGCAGCAGGGCTTGGTTTAACAAACTGTAGCAGAGGGGAACAAACAGAAGTAAGTGAAAACTCAAATATGATCTGGCCATAGACATGGAGATGGAAAATAAACCCCTACAGAGGTAGTGGGAGGATTTCTATTGGGAAAAGAAGACAAAATACAAAAAAAAAAAAATCATAGTTGAGTTAAATTGTCAGCACCAGAGAATCCTATATGAAGTAATTGGAGAAGCCCAGGTAGTGGACTGAAGGGGCATGGTGAACCAGATGCCTCTAAGCACTTGGGTGAGTCACTGACACAGAAAGTGAACCATACCAATAGTGTGTGTCACCATGATGCTGTGGCTGAGATATCTAGCTCTGCAGCTCAGTTTCTGGGGCTGAGACTGGACTTTGCCATTTGTAGATAGGAAAAACTTAATCTTTCAGATACATTTTCAGTAACTAAAATAGGGATAATGAGACCACTCGTGTCAAGTTTGTTTGGGGCTATTTGAGACAATGTGGGTTATTTGCATACTGTCACAAAGAAGGCTCACAGTTTGCACTAGCCATAATCATGCTACTGCTACTGCTGATGTGAACACATCCAGAGAAGTGTATTCAATGAACTCTGGGAGAAGGAAGAGGTGTGGAATATTAGAAGGAGCCATGGGCTTAGCAGCCAGAGTCAGAGATTCTTTTCTCTGATCTAGGCCTCACACTCTTCAGAAGAACCTACTGAAGAGTCTTTCTCAGAATAGAGCACATAGCATTTAGTGTGCCTCAAACTCAATATCATAACGATCATGAGAAAACAGCAGGATTGATTCTTTTGGGCCTGTAACAGGAACACTTTCACAATGGAGGTGACCTTTAAGTAATAGAATCTCTTTCACTGGTAGAATTGTGGCAATGGGGCCAGAAGGGGAGGCTGTGGGAGAAGGATTGGGAAATGGCACACACAGAGACCTTTGGGGATAGAAAAGGAGATACTGTGTCTGGAGTGTAGACCGGAGCAGGGGGCATGAGGAGACCAAGGGCAACAGAAGACTTCCAAGTGGATACACTCTTTTATGCGCTGATGAAAGTTTCAAAATTATCCTATAGGAAGCAGGAAGTCAGTGAAAGTTTTCTGTGAAACAGGAATACTACTCAGAACAGAATTTTACAATAAAAACAGCAGCAGTGTGAGGAATGGGTTGACAGAGAAGGAAAGGGAGGAACATGGGCTGTTTGGATAAAGCTTGGATCAGAGATGATGAAGACCTCATATGGAGCAGTGGCCTCATGAGTGGGGCCATTTGGAGAACTGTTGTGGTGTAATCACCAGCTTGTAGGGATTAGTTACATGGTGGAGGGTGGGGGGGTGGTAGAGAGGCGGCAATTAGCATTACTTTCTTGAAGAACGATGCAGGCATTTACTGAGTAGAGGGATAGGCTATAGAAACTTTTGAGATTAAGGATTCCTTAGAGTCTGAAGTAGGAGTTCGGTGTTCAGGATGGGGGTCTCCGTTGGACATATGCATTTTAGAACAACTTCTGTATATTTGTGGGGCTGTTAAAATCATGGGAGTAGGTTGGTCACTTGTAGGAGGATTTTATAAAGAAAACTTTTTATAAAAAGTAAACTTGTTGGGGAAACACCACCTTAAAAGGTGCAGAGGAAGAATCAGAGGAAACAGAAACTCAAAAGGGTTAGCACAGAGGTAAATGGAGAACCAGGAAAGGATGGTCTCGTTGAAACCAAAGGGAATCCAGATGTAAAGACTGGATGGTTAAAGATGTCAAACTCAGCAGAGGTCAATGAGGATGAAGATTGAAGCAGAGCTAAAGAGCTCAGTCTTCAATAGCCTTGTAAGAAGCAAGTTTGATATAGGTAGTAGTAGAAAGTTCTAG